CTGGGGTCTGCTCCCCATAGGGGACCCAGCCCCTTACCTGAGGTCTGGGCCCCATGGGAGACCCGGCCCCACACCTGGGGTCTGCACCCCATAGGGGACCCAGCCCCTTACCTGAGGTCTGTGCCCCATGGGAGACCCGGCCCCACACCTGGGGTCTGCACCCCATAGGGGACCCAGCCCCTTACCTGAGGTCTGTGCCCCATGGGAGACCCGGCCCCACACCTGGGGTCTGCACCCCATAGGGGACCCAGCCCCTTACCTGAGGTCTGTGCCCCATGGGAGACCCGGCCCCACACCTGGGGTCTGCACCCCATAGGGGACCCAGCCCCTTACCTGAGGTCTGTGCCCCATGGGAGACCCGGCCCCACACCTGGGGTCTGCACCCCATAGGGGACCCAGCCCCTTACCTGAGGTCTGTGCCCCATGGGAGACCCGGCCCCACACCTGGGGTCTGCACCCCATAGGGGACCCAGCCCCTTACCTGAGGTCTGTGCCCCATGGGAGACCCGGCCCCACACCTGGGGTCTGCACCCCATAGGGGACCCAGCCCCTTACCTGAGGTCTGTGCCCCATGGGAGACCCGGCCCCACACCTGGGGTCTGCACCCCATAGGGGACCCGGCCCCCCTCTGGACTTGGCCCCTTGCCTGGGGTCTGTGCCCCATAGGGGACCTGGCCCCGCTTTGGGGCCTGTCTCCCCATTTGGTATCTGTCCCCCTGTATGGGGCCTGGCCACCATAGGGGGCCCATCCCCACTCCGGGCCTGGCCCTTCGCCTGGGGTCTGTGTCCCATAGGGGACCCATCCCCCCTATGGGGTCTGTCCCCCCGCATTTGGGATCTGTCCCCCATCTGGGGTCTGTCCCCCTGCCTGGGACCTGGACCCCAACCTGGGGCTCATCCCTGCCTGGGGCTTGTCCCCCCATCTGGGACCTGCCCCCCACCTGGCTCCCTTCCACCATCTCAGGCCCAGGCCCTGTCTGCACCCCCAGGGCCATGGGGGATGCTCGGACCCCTGATCCGGCCCCTCTTTCCTCATGTCAAAGCTCCTATTTCAGCCTGGGGCGCAGGAGCCCCCTTCTCCCCTCCCCGCAGCGCCAGGCAGCCGGTCCTCAAAGCTGCCGCCGGCCCAGGGCGAGGAAGGGTTCGCGGGGCAGGGAGGAGGCCAGCGCGGAGCCGGCAACGGCATCTGCTCACCGGTGTATTTTTCGCTCCTGGTCTGTCTTCTCCCTGCCTCTCTCCCACATGCACCTGTACCAGGGAAGCTTTTAGCAGGATGCTATTTTTATTTTAAAGGAGAGCATGCTATTATTGCATCTAACAGTGTGAGCTGGCGGCTGGTGAACTCTCCAGCATGCTGAAGCAGATGCAAATTAAGGAGGAAATCAGCGCAACAGGGCAGCATGGACCTGGGTACTGATGGCCTTCAGTATCTGCGTTAAAGCTGCCCCCAGAAGCTGGGTGAGAGAGGAAATAGAAAGGTTGGCTTGAAGAGTGCCTCATCTCCAAACGGTGCTCCCTAGTTGTCCTGCCGTACACGACTCGTATATTAAACATCTCCTTTTGATCTCTACAACCCATGTCGAGCTGGCACGCACGCCCCTAGTCTAGCTGCTTGTCTAGAAATGACCTCCTTTGTGTCTGCAGGTGATAGAGGGAGCGCCTTATTACCATTTCAAACACCGAGGCACCGTGCAGAAATCCTTAAGCAGACACTGGGGCTGGAACATGCGCCTGAAGAAAGAGCCGAAGGTAAGGAGCAGGTGATTGCAGGGGACCGAGGTTACCGAGCATGCCGCGGTGAGCAGAGATAAGAGTTCAGACCTGGGCACACTGCAGTGGCATTAACACACCCAGGTTCATTTGCTGCACTCAGGGGCAGCTGTACTGTTGCTACCCGATGGTGTGTTATCTCTGTGGCACTGTAATGCATGGTCCAGGGACACGAGCGTTACACCAGCATCTGGCCACGCAGCCAGAGATTAGGAGCAGCAAAGGCTTCTTCCACTCCTGTTAAGGTAAAATAGCCATGTATGAAGGTGTGGGATATGCTAGTTGTGAATATTGCTGGCATGCAGAGGTTGAACGGAGGTGCTGTGTGATCGAAGCAAGCGTGGGGTGTGCCAGGTGGCCCCAGGAGGAGTCCCCAGCTCTGCCTGACACCAACAAGGGACCTGCTTGCTGCTCAGGTTCACTGGTTTGAGCAGCAAACTGTGAAGAAGCGTATGAAGAGAAGCGTCACGGTGGTGCCGACAGATCCCTGGTTCCATAAGCAGTGGTATATGGTGAGATTTTGCTGCTTTCGATTTCTGTCTCACCCTTCTAACCCCAATGTCCTGAAGCAAATCACCTCCCTTACACGTGAATAGGACTAATACTGACAGTGATGATACAGCAGAGTAGTCTCTGAAGGACATTCACAGCCTGCTGCCCAGAGCAGCCCTGGATGATCAAATTTAATCTGTTTTCCAGAACAATGATGTCAGTCCAGATCTGAATGTCCTCACTGCTTGGGGCAAAGGGTACACTGGTTTGGGAGTTGTGCTGTCCATCTTGGATGACGGGATTGAGAAGGATCATCCAGACCTGTCTCCTAACTACGTAACTATAATTACTGCCTCCAGGGCTAAGTAACAAAGGCTCCGGGAAGCTGCATACTGCTTCTTTACAGCATGTTTTCTCCAGGGGAGGGTGGGAGCTGATACCTTTATCCAGCTGGTGGGACTTTGCACTAGAAATTCAGCCTCTCCATGGCTGGATCAAAAGGCTTAGTATCTTCACAATGAATTCTCGCGTCAACGAAATGTTAGAACTGGAACACGTAATTTGTAAAGGCAACGCTCAAGCCCCAAAAATAGTCAGATGTGATTAGACCAAGCTGCAAAGCCAGAAAACCTTGTAAGCCCCCACGTGCTCAGAAAGCAAAGAAAAAAAAGGAGGTGAACCTTAATCAGTTGTTATTTATAAAAACATAGTTTCAGTGTTTCTTAGTTCTTCCTTTCTAACTCCGTTGCAGGGAGTTAGGTTAGACTCACCCGTAGCCTCTGGCACGTTGGGCAACGCTGTGCTGTGTTTTCTCTCCAAACATGAGCCTGGATAGCATGAACTAGTACCATGACATGCAAAGTTACACTGATTTAATGAAATCCTGTTTAAAACAATTTCAGGTTAATCTGATGCAGTTGCTGGGTGCAGATGGGCCTCACTTGCACAGTCTGGGTTGTGAGAGCAGCAAGCTTGCTGGGAGGCAGGGTGATTCAGAGAGCCAGACACGGGGCTAAATGCCAGGAAGTCTGTTTCAAGTTGTTGCAACAACAAACTTCTTAATGCAGTTTTCTCATGCTAGTGCCCCTTTCTGCAACAGGATCCCCTTGCAAGTTATGACTTCAACAGCAATGACCCTGATCCACAGCCCAGATACAACGCCTGGGATGAGAACCGGTGAGTTTTCTTGGCTGGTTGTCCAGACAAATCTGTTCCCTGTGCTGGCTATTTCATATCTCTCTGGCCTGAGACTATTCCAGGCCCTTTTATTCCTCACTGTGGATCGATCATAATTTAACTGTGCCCCTCAGGCATGGGACACGTTGTGCAGGAGAAGTGGCAGCTGTAGCCAACAACCGAATCTGTGGAGCAGGCATTGCATACAATGCAAAAGTTGGAGGTGAGCAATTACTCCTACTTGCTGGTACGATGTGGGAAGGGAGTCACGAACAAGCTCAGACGCCCTGGAGGAGTGTGTGGCTCCAGGCCCACAGCAAGGCTGTACCTCGTCAGGCTGACACTAATGTCATCTTGATCCGAATGCTGCAAAGGCAGCTTTGGCTTCTATAAGAGCAATGTGGCCGAATCAGTATTGCAAAGTCCTTGCTGGCAGGGATTTCTGCCACCCTTGTCCCCACTCTGCAGGCGCTCGGAGGGGAGCTGCAGGAGTCAGGGCTTTTTGAAAAATCAGGCCCTTGAACCAGAGCCTTGTAGCAGCACTTTGAAAGTGAATCCCTGGGTCTCGTTTTGCCTGCGTAAAAGCATCCAGAGCTTCCCACAGCGACAGGGCTGCTCTGGAGGAAGCTAGAGGCTTGTGAGACGCTAGAGGGTGCTGCTTAGTTGCAGCAAACTGAGCAGTGGTGCAAGGCTCGGCTGCTGCAAGCCTGGTCCACAGCGGTCCCCCGGCACAGTCCTGGGGTTGCCAGGGTCCCTGGAGCCATGGGGATTTAATTCCCCTTCTACAACAAAAGGTTTGGCTGAGCAGCACCAGCAACACGCAGGCTTAGGTTCCCCTGAGGAAGCGTGTGTGGCAAATAGGGTTAAAAGCTGGGATAACTTGCTGGGCTTAACTGCAAAGGGATTAACAAGGAGCATTGGGTACATGCTCACAGCAGCGGCTGCACAGACCTGCAGGAGCCTGATCTCCTTATGGCAGGATTACATGAAAGGTGCCCACGGCAACCAGGGAGCAAAGCCAGGGCCAGCGCGATCCCGCTCAGTCCCTGGGCTCCCATGGAGCACGAGATGCTCATGCCCACCTGGAACCTGCCACAGGGCATCTCTGGCTACCGTGGCCGCCTGACTGCTGTTGGGCCTCTTGAATGCTGTCACTGTCATCTTCCTGGCCCTGCAGGTGTGCGGATGCTGGACGGGCTCATCACTGACATTGTGGAGGCTCAATCCCTGAGCCTCCGTCCCCAGCACATCCACATCTACAGTGCCAGCTGGGGCCCTGAGGATGACGGAAAGACCGTAGATGGGCCGGGCGTGCTGGCCATGGAGGCCTTCTACAAAGGAGTCACAAATGTAAGCATGGCATTGGCCTTGGGGCCTCCCAGTTTGCTGGCTCTGAACCAGACCTGCTGTTAGCAGGAGCTGGGCTTGCACTGGGTCCTTGCACTGCAATGGGAAGAGATCCTCCAGGCTCTCCACAGCATATTGCTGTGACAGCATCAAGGGGAGGACTCCCTGCTCCCACTCCGTCTGCCAGGGGCGAGGAGGCCTCGGTTCAGTCTTCATCTGGGCCTCTGGCAATGGCGGGCTCCACTACGACAACTGCAACTGCGATGGATACACCAACAGCATCTACACCCTGTCAGTCGGCAGCACCTCTGCGAGTGGTCAGATACCCTGGTACAGTGAGGCCTGTTCCTCCACCCTCACCACCACCTACAGCAGTGGCACAAGGAGTGAGAAGCAGATTGTGAGTTCCCTCCTGGCTCTGTCTGGGGCAGCGACCCTCTAGCAGACACCAGTTCCCAGTACAGAGCGGGCACATCTGGACCCTTCTTACCTGGGCAGGGAGAAGGGGGCTTTAGTAAAGCACCTGCATTAGGCCTTGAAGGCAGGGAGGGACCAGGAAAACAGAACCCAAGGGAGTGTTTTTTGAAGGGATCCGTTCCAGCCAATCCTGCCCCCTGCTTCATCAGCAGGCAACTGCACCAGGAACCCCTTCTCCTCCCCCAGGTGACCACCGACTTGCACAACCGCTGCACGGACAAGCACTCGGGCACCTCTGCCTCTGCCCCGTTGGCTGCTGGAATGATTGCCCTCGCTCTGGAGGCCAAGTAGGTCCCGTCCCTTGGGCCCAGGGTGCGTGTGGTGCCTCACTGGAACCCTGTAGTGCCAAGGAAGGGGGGCTTTGCCCTGTTACCAGTGGGGTTTGGGGGTGTGGAGCTGAGGTCTCCCTGTGCTCTCATGGGGCGGCCTCTTCTCCTGTGGGAGAGGGGCCAGAAACAGGAAGAGAATTGCCCTCTGGAGGTGTCCGTTTCCCTCATTTTGGGGAGCAAGAAAGTTGTCAGAGGGGGACTAGCTGGGACCCAGACATCTAACTTTCCAATAACCAAAGTTAGAAGAGCCATATCTCAGCCTCAAAAGCTAACCCAAAATAGAGCCCTCTCTCCCAAAGTCGTCCTTGCTTCCAGCCCAGCACTAACCTGGCGTGACTTGCAGCATCTCGTGGTCAGGGCCTCCAAGCCCGCCCACCTGCAGGCAGAAGACTGGGCTGTGAACGGGGTCGGACGCAAGGGTGAGTGGATGGCTTGGCCGTTGCCGGTCCTGCACGCTTCTCCATTTCTGGGAGGACATATTGCCCTTTAAACTCTTTGCCAGCGTATCTGGGGCAGGAGCCCTCTGGTACTCTCGTGTCACAGGTCTGCATAGGGGCTCACGTGCCTTCTCTTGGGTGGCATCTACCTTTCAGTGAGCCACCACTACGGCTACGGGCTCCTGGATGCGGGTCTGCTGGTGGAGTTGGCCAAGAAGTGGACAGGAACTCAGCCTCAGCGGAAGTGTTCAGTCAAGGCACTTCACTTCATGTGGGATGAGCCGGGGGCTTTCCTTTAGCAAAATCACACTGCGCCTAGTGCAGGACCTGGGCCTTGCTTCCCAGGAAAGTGTTGCATGGCTTCTGCTGTAACCACAGGGCTGTGGTTAGAGTTTGTGGAGAGCAACAACGCCCGTGGAGGGTGGGGGGAGAAGCTCTTACCTCTGCCCTGTACCTCGTAGGAACATAGGTCCCAAGCTCACAGTCTCTGTGAACGGCTCCTGCTCAGGGAGGACTGAGGGCATCCGCTCACTGGAGCACGTCCAGGTCCAGCTCTCTCTGAGCTACAGCAGGAGGGGGGACCTGGTGATCACTCTGACCAGCCCCCCCCTCCCCGGTGGGGGCTGTGGGGTTAGGGGGGGGGGGGGGTGTCTGTGAGTGTTCAACAAGCTCATGGGGAAGCATACTGTGACAGAAACTGTGGTGCAGAGATTTACCTGCTGCCCTAGGGTGGGAGGAGGGTCTCCTCTGACAGTCTCTCCTAGTGCCAGAAGACCCAATCCCACAGGGAAATGGCTCCTTCTGGCTCCCATGGGGGAATTGGGCTCACCCCGCCCAAGGCTCAGACTCCCCTGTAGTCTGTGCTATGTCTTGGCAGTGCCCCATTATACTAAGAACTGGGAGAGTCTAGGGCCTCCTCAGACTGCATCCCTCCCCTCCAGCCTTGCACTCGTGGCTCTCTTCTCCTCTAGCCCCTATGACACCAGCAGGGAGGGCTACAAGGACTGGACCTTCATGTCCACACACTTCTGGGATGAGGACCCCCATGGCACCTGGATACTGCTGCTAGAGAACAAGGGGGATGCCTATAACACAGGTGAGCACCCAGGGCAGGGAACCCCATTCAGCAGGGTCACCCAGTGCCCAGTCATTCTTTCTTCTTCCTTCCCCCTCTCTCCATTAGAAACTTATTGGTCTTGTCCCTTTCCTGCTCCCCGCTGGGCACAGGGTTCACCAGATCCCTCTTTTTCTGTAGAGTTTTGGAATGGGCAGGGTCATATTTGCTTGCGTTTTGAAGGTCTCCCTGGACAGCACATGGCCAGGAAGGGGGCATTGCTTGCTCTGTTCCACATGGCTCCAGAGCTCCTGGCACCAGACCAGAAGCCCTATCTCCTGCCTCGCAGGCGTCCTGACTAACTTCATCCTGCACCTCCACGGCACAGATGAGGACATGGTGAGCCGGCGCTTGGCAGCCTCTGCTGTGAGCGAGTGTGTTAAGTGGGACGCGCAGGGAGCATGCGAGGGTGAGTACTCCATTTTCCAGGCACTGACTCTCCTGGGCTGGCTGATGCAGGCAGAGCCACTGTGCCCCCCAGGAGGCTTTCCCTGCTGTGCACAGGGAACCGAGTCTTTGGGCAGGAGAGGATGCTGCTGTCACAGGCACCTGGGGCTGACAGCAGGCTCCCAGCCACCTCTCAGCCCCAGCTCACACCACCCGTCCCTCCACAGAGTGTGGCGAGTCATTCTACGCCTACCAGCACTTGTGCCTGTCCTACTGCCCCCCACGCTACTACAGCCGCACCCGGAGATCCACCTCCCCAAATGCAGCCGGCGTCTGTGCTGACTGCCACCCCTCCTGCTACACGTGCCAGGGTGCTTCGGCCAACAACTGCACGGCCTGTCCCCCCGCCTGCACCTTCGATGAGCTCTCTCACTCCTGCTCGCCTCTGCGTGGCTTGCCCAGCCAGGACACGCTGCAACAGGAGCATCGCCCCAGCTTCATCCTGCTGAGCCTGATCTGTGGGAGCCCAATCCTCTTAGGCATCGTCTACATCACGTACCGCGTGGCCTTCTGCGCTGGCTGCCTCCACAGGTAGCAGATGGTGCCTGCTGGCTTTGGACTGGAAGGCCAGAGTTACAGCAGCCCCAGCTGATGGGCATGCACACTCCAGAAACCTGCACAGACGCAGGCAGCTGGATCCCCAGCCTGGGACAGAGCTGGCTTCACTGGGCCTCTGAAATAAACTAGTTGTTGCCATTCTGGGCTGCCCTCTCTTGCTGAAAAGAGAAGGGTCACTTCCTTCGCCTGCAGCGCCTGTGCTGATCCCCCCCCCATTTCCGGCTCCCTGCGTCAGCAGGGGCACAGGGATGGTGGCTTACCTCCCTGCCTGGCTTGTCCCCTGCCTCACCCCGGAGGCGTAAGGGTGCTGGGAAGGCCAGGCCAGGCGCTGGCAGAGCCTGCACGCTGCTGCAAGCAAGCTATTTCCAGAAGGGCTCAGCTGCACGTCTGAGAACGGAGCAGGAGCCCTGTGCCCTTTCTCAGGCACAGAGGGACAGGGGTAGGAGGAGATGTGACTTCCCTCCAAACAGCTGCACCCAAGTAAACACATCCAACTCCTTGAGTATTAGCTCAGCCATGAGCTCACGCAGCTTTTGGCAGGGGAGAGGGAACAGGACTTTGAGCTGCTGCTCAGGAAGCCCAGTGTGGTCCCAGCCTCCCGATTAACAGCAGGCTTTAGTGCCTACGAGACAGGGGCTCTTACACCCCGCAGCCGCTCTGCTCTCACCCCAGCTGCAGCAACACAGCGGGAGCTGGCGTGGGCGAGCAGAGGCAAACACCCTCAGCCCTTGCTCTCGGATGAAGGCTGGCAGAGGCACAGCTGCAGCTGTGCCCCGGCATGCTGCACAGCGCCAGGCAGGGCTGGGGCAGGCACGGGGAGAGCTGCCAGCTGGGGCCCTCCCGGGGGCACCGCTGCCGCCGCGAGGAGGCTTGGCCTCCATCTCCAAACTGCAGCACTGAGCCTGCTCGGGGTAGCACCAGCCCAAGGCACAGCGCAGCCGAAGGAGGAACGTGGCTTCCCAGGGTGGGAGTGATTTGTCCCACCGCTGAACTGTGCCATCCCCAAGCTCAACATGTTTGCACAGCTGAGACATGCTCAAAAATTAAAGGAGAGAGCAAGACCTTTGTCCAAGCATATAATCACCCAAACTACCCCCTTGGCTGGACATTACAGAGCACAGACAGTGCAAGAAGGGCCAGGACAGAGCCAGCAGCTGCCAGTCGAGCACGGCAACCCCTATCCAAAGGGTTTTCCAGGGAAGGCAGCTGAGAGCAAGAAGCTGTCCCCAGTCCCATCAGCAGCCCAGCTCATCCCCCTAGAGGGAAATGCTGAGATTCGTGCCACAGCCACAGAGACCAGATCTTTGACTAGAACCAGATTAAAAGGCAGCAAATGCCTATTCCACCCAGGGACGGGGAATTTGGGAGAGCTGGATGTGCTGGAGTAAGGTTTCCCCCACAGCAGCACGAGCCCCGCTGACCCCTCCGAGCCAGGCTGGGAGCCAGGCGCTCCCCGCTTGCCGGCCAGGAGGGG